AGATATTAAACAGCACTGGTCCCAGTAAGGATCACCAAGATATTAAACAGCACTGGTCCCAGTAAGGACCACCATGGGACACGACTCATCACCAATCTCCATCTGGACATTGAGCCATTGACTGCTAACCTCTGGATGCAAACATCCAACCAATTCCTCATCGACCCAATGGTCCACCTATCAAATCCATACCTCTCCACTTCTGGGGAAACAGTCTGTCTCGTTCTAATGTAGATGTCTAAAATACATTAGATAACTTGCATATGAATAGAGTTTACCTCCCTTCATCAGCTATGAAAGGAGTTTAGATTTTAGTGTCCAGAGTCTAGTGCAGATTTTGTATGCCAGATGAGACAAGTCACACCACAAATTCTCACACTCATCAACAGAGTGGATTGCTGCAGTACACCTGGCTACAATTCATGTTTGGATGAGATTAAGTTAAGATACCTTAACTTATATGTATTAAATTAAAATACCTATAACTGACTTATTTGTGTAAGGATCCAGTTCTGCTGGCACAACTGGAAACATCTCTGCAAACATCTCTAAGAGGGCAAGTTATCTTATCCTGAAATCAACTCTGGAGATTGTTTCAGATGCCAAAGTAAGGTGAGATAAATAAATGCAAAATAAAGAGAAAGAAAGTGATACTAACAGTGCATTGTGCTAGGATATAATTTGGGAGCTCTGTAATACTCAGTCCGAAAGTGCTCTAGCTAGGTTTTATTTACTCGAATTGGGATTTGCATAATCTGATATCACATCTCTGCTTTCAAAATTGTGGTACCTTAAGTGAACTTTAAGGCTGATAATCATCCAGCTAGGTGTAATTTCCAGGTATTGCTATGCTACCTAGAGTTCAAAGTTTGTTTGTTTTCTTAGTCTTCCACGGCCCTGTGGTCTCTAGCACATTTTTCTTTCCCTGGACGTGTTGCGTAGCACGTATTTTTGGGGTAGATTCAGGCTGAGATTGTTATTATCCTACATACTTGTGGTCTGGCCTAGTATTATCCATCACAATATTGTCATGTGTTGGGCATTGACAACATACTTAAAAAGCTATTTTGTTATGTGATATAACTAGCATGTTGGGTAGTTTTCTTGTAGCATTAAGGAAAACTTGCCAATGCTTTCAGCACAAGAGTTCCCAGAAGTTTCTTTATGCAGCAGGGTGGGCTGCTTCGTGCAGGCAAGCAGCAAGCAGTCTGAACCGCAGGTTCCTTACAGGTCATTCTTCACTGTATGGGAACTATAGGCTGAAAGTAAATGATCTGCAAAATATCACAACGTTACAAAATAATAGCACGCTCTAATCCTTTCACCTCATTTCCGCTTGACGTTCCAGTCCTTGGTCATGGTTTACAAGACACTGAACTGAAGGTCTACTTGCAACTTCAGCTCTCTGGTGTCAGCCACAGCATCCCACCTTCAGACTCTTATTTCCCTTAGCAAATGTAGGAGCATGCTCTCATCTGTTTGGTGAAGTACTGCTATTCTCAATTGTCACTCCTCTTAACTGCTGCTTTTTAAATCACCTCAATCCTGTGGCAGCTTATTTGCACTCCGTGTGGGACACCTGCTCTACATTTGGTTTCCTTCCCCAGGCTGCGACTCCCTTGCTTGATTCTCTTTCAGACATGCCGTCGTGCTTGGAGGTTACTTGATTTCTGCTCTTAAAAGGGCTGCTGTAGAATTATAATGGTGAACTGCTGGTTGTCTGTAAGATAATGCTTTTCTCAGCTGCTTGCGCTGAGCACATTGTCTGTGCCGTCCAAAAAGTCCTACCTGATGGAGTGCAAAGAGCAGACAATGACAAAGCTGAGTACTCACGCTTGTTACATCCCTAAAGTCACCACCAGGGAAAAAAGTTAAATGAAGAAGATTCAAGTAAAACAGTTGAAAATGGAGAGAGAGGAACAAAAAAGGCAGTAAATAAAGGGGGCCAAACAAAGCAGCAGGGTGTATGGAGAGTTGGTTAAAAGCTTACCTGCCACGTTGTTGCCTGTTCCAATTACAGAATTGGGAAATTTTCTCACAGAGTCAAAGATCCACATTCTGTACTCATGAAATCCCCGTTTCCATACCTGATGGAGGAAAGTGGGTAGCAGTCATTAGTGGTGTGCTAGCCTCATCAGTGACCTGCAAAAGTTCTCTTGTATCTGTCAAGGAGCTACTAGTACTGCAGGATCAGTTCTACAAAACCCCTAAAGTCTGCATCTGTCCCCATTTTTTCTTATGTTTTTTTTCTTGTGTGTGGGGTTTGGTTTTTTTTTTTGGTAACCCATTGTTAGCTGTTTTTCTTAAAGCTTGCTATTTCAGTTTACAAACCCTAGGTACTGTCTGGAAGACCCCCTTTCCCAGGCACCTATTTTAGGGATTAATTGCTTTTTAGAGCAACACTTTGTGAAGTGATGTAGAAGTACACAGTCCCCTCCTTGAGCTGCCTCGGCCACTGGAGCCCAGCCTGGGGACCTGGGGTGTCTGCCCAGGCTGAGGGATACGGCTGCCACTTTCCCCTCTGTATGCTCAACCAGTAGTGAAGCTGAGCACATACCCCAGAGGCACACACACAATTAATAGCTCTTCAATTAGTGTGAGTGCTGAGGTTTGTTTCTTGACGTTGTCTCCATGTTTGCTTTGTCAGGTCTGTGTCTCTGTGTATTTTGTTTCTGGTTTCCCCCTTTCCCCCATAGTTTCCCAGCTGACAAAGCCCCCGATCAGACGACCTCAATGGAATAGACATTCTCACACTCCCATGTACCCTCACCAGTGAACGTGACTGACCAGGTTTGGTTCCCATCACTGCCTCCCTTATCACTTGCATCAGGTTTGTGTCCCTGTACATTCTTGTTCATGGCTTCCTCCTTTTCTTATTATCCCTTGCTGCATTGAAAAAGGTCCTTGACCAGATACCCTTAAAGCAGCAGGCACTGTCCTGCCCCAGACCCTTACACACATCTTTCTCTGTCTCTAGAGGCAGCCTAGGTGGTTCTTACAGTCCAGACACCGAGCTTTTGGATGACTGAATTTAAGTTGGATGAATCCAACCCTGTATGTCTGAAACTCATTTAATAGATTCTCATGCTACTAAAGGCGCCTCTCATTGGGAATGATGTCAGCCTTTTCTGGAGCTTGTCATATTAGTGACTACTTTGGGACCTGAACTTTAAAGGAGATAACAGTAATTTTTGCACTTCAGATGTTGCTGAGCTCTTTATGAGAAAGAAAGGTACGGTGATTATGAGTTAACTTCTTCATGCTTTGCTTATGTAGATTGCATGAACAAGGTATAGTTTCCAGGGCTTGAGAGCAATGGGCATGGTTGTTTCTCTGCTTTCATACTTAGAGTCTGTAAACTCAGAAAGCATGTCCCCAAAAACTTCTTTGCTGAAAATGTCCACTCATCCTGTGTGCCACGCTCTAGGGTGTATGTTATTTCACAGCCTACTTTGATCTCCTTTTTAGATATCAAATGCCCCTGGTAACTGCTTGTTATAGTTTGGGGATATTTCCTCTTGCGCTCTAGCAGGGCATGCGGTGACTGTTTCTCCCCCTGCTTTCTTAAAAGCAAATTTGGTGAGTTTGTCTGTGGGACAGAAGGTAACCACCCAGGTTCTTCTAAGAATAGTTCTGCTCCTAGCCCGTGAGAAGCAAACTTGAAGAAGATACTGCATTTCTAGACCTGATGCAAAGTAAACACATTGTGATATCGAGCTTTGCCTTCTGAGCAGTGGAAGGAAAGCGCATCAATGCAGGGAACTTAGAGCATGCAAAACCAGACAACACTGCAGTGTTATGACTAACGGTGCCATGTAAAATGTGCAGTTCATGATGAATGGTGAATTCTAGTGTATTATCATTTGTTTTCTGAGCTGGTGACCTTGCCTACTCAACGATCTCCCTGCAGGTAGGGAACTTCTTCTGACATATGATCAGGATATATCATTGCAGAAGAAGTCCAAGAAGTCCAGAAACATCCCAGGTTTTGGGGCTCTGTTTTCAGGAAAGTTGGTATTTCTGCACTTGGACACTGTGCTTTTTGTATGTGCTTTTCAGGGTTTGCTAAGCTGTTGAAGCAGTCTTCAGCAAAATACTTTTTCTAGTGGCAAGGCATAGATGTCAGCAAGTGCCCACCAGGACTGCTGACTCATGTTGTCTTGACTTTGTGGTTTGTGGAGGTATTTGGAAAACTTGATTCTGAAATGTCTGACAAAGCTGCATGAATTTATTGACATATTTGTTTTTCCTCTACATACAGACCCTAATATGGTCAATGCAGGAGACATGAATGGTTCTGGCAACCTGATGGATTTTCTGGATGAGCCTTTCCCTGACGTTGGGACTTACGAAGATTTCCACACCATCGACTGGCTGCGGGAGAAATCACGTGACACTGACCGTCATAGAAAGGTAAAGTTGTCCGGCTTTGATGCATCGCAATCCCTGTGTTAGAGCCATCCTGGTGGTGAGAAAAACAAGCAGTTTTCCAAAGTTATTGCTTCCTATCTTGTTGTATGACTTGAGGAGGACTTCTACAAATATGGATGTGGTATGTCTCGAGTTTGTAAATATGAAAGGGCTTCTGGCAACTTAATCAGCAGAGCATCTCTAAAAAAATAATTGAGACTAGGGGGAGTGGAGAGTAGAGAAATTGTATGCACCTTCTAGGTGTGTTTTAAACATTATACAGTAAAATTGTGTCAGCCTGAATTGGCAACATGTTTCTATATATGTTTAATTTCAGATTACAAGCAAAAGTAAGGAATCCATATGGGAGTTCATCAAGAGTTTGCTGGATGCCTGGTCAGGATGGGTTGTAATGCTTCTCATAGGACTACTGGCAGGTATGCGTGTGTTAGCATTACAGTTATGCCCAAAATCATCTCACCCAAGTTTGCTGCAGTGCCATCGGCTTTTCTTTTTACGTCATTGTCTCTCCGCTGATGTTTCAAGCTAAAAAGACAGCTATGCATCCATGCAGTTATAATCCTTAATACAAGTACCCACTTGCAAAGTCTCCTGCTGAGTGCTGACCTAGAAAAACTGTTATTCACCAGTAGAGGGATTTTTCTATTGCTCTTGGAAGTATGCATCTGAGTGCTTTACACTTGACAGACTACTTTGACTTTCTGAATCTTTGATTCACAAAAGTCAATTTTACTGGTAGGATTTTTTTCTTTTGTTTTCACTTTAATTCTGCAAGTGGATGTTATGATGTGGGGAAAAAGTTGGTTGTGGACACTCAAAGGGAAGCTTTGTAAATCGATATATCCACTGGGTTATCTTATTTATACATGTGTGAAGGGAAAATACACTTTCAGACTCAGTTTCAGATCTGCTTCCAGGCCAGACAGACATTACATATTTAACAGCCTGCTCAAACTCAGATGGCAAATTCATTAATTTCCCAAATTGCTGCTGTCTTCTGCTCATTTTAGCACATCTTCCAACTTGGAAAGCTGCACTTCTCTTACCAAGCTGAAACAGCTGCCATTTTTTATGCTTTTTCAGTGATGTCAGGGTGCTCTTGTATCACACTGCTTGGTAAAAGCACGATGTAAAGTTTCACAATTTCCAAGTGGTGTGAATTTCCTGCTTACCAACACTCAAGTTAATATGTTTATTATAGTTGTTCAGGAGCCTCAGAAATACAGGGGAAGGTCTTGAGAAAATGCTGCTGAAGTGGCATTTTTGGCAAATTATGTTATTTTGTAGAGATACATTTGTTTCCACAAATGATTTGACAGGAGGGTGAGATGGGAAGGCAGTCTGATAGACTGTGTACTACAAGGGCTGCCGAACCCTGCCTGTAGGCCAGGGTTGGCCTCATCTGGGATGGGGAATTCTACTTGCAAATAAAGTTAGAACAAGCCCTTGAGGGCTCCAGTGGCCTCCCACAAGCTGGTCAGTAATCCCCTCACTCATACAGAGAATGTGGTATACACTCACACACTCCTATTTCAGTAAAAATATCCCCAAAGGTTTGTTTCAGTTCCAGTTTGCAGCAAAGCCTCATGCTGAAATCCTTAAGGTTGTTGAAAGCCAGAGTTGCTGACCTCTTATGAGCTCTAATGCTGGTATGTCCAACTTGGGAACAGAGATTGAGGGTGAGCTGCAGCTGAGATGTGTTAAATTTTGCAGCCTTTTCAATGACAGGGGTGCAGAGCAACATGTTTTACCTGAAAGAGTCAAATCAAATGTCTGTTTTTAAATTTAGACAAGGACTTGTGAATCAGCTAGAGAACAAAAATTACCTGTGTGCTTGTGATCTCAGTGACCTGCTGAGCCCTGGAGGTTTTTTCTGCTTGCCATTGAAATGACACATGTGCTCTCTGCCTTCAGTGTTCCTGGGACAGGGAAAAGATGGAGAGTCACCATCTCAGCCTCAGCGAGGGGTCAACACCCCTTTGAAGAGTAGATGAGGTTTCTAAACCAGGTTTGGGGAGTGAGGAGGTGAGGTTGGTGGTGTAGTCAAGAGGCACTTCACATAATTTCCCTCTCAACTTGAAATATTGCCTGCTCAGAGAAGCTGGCCTGCCATAAGGGCACCTGTGTGATCACACAGGGTTATTGTAGACCAGCCTGGCTTCTCCATGGTCCCTCTTCCTCTGCTGAATGGGCAGAGGCTACCACTCCAATGGGAGCAGCCTGGCTGAGCTGCACGGACACTGGGTGAGCTCTTGGGCAGCTGAATCCAGGCATTGCCAGAGGCAAGGAGAGAGGATGGGGAGGAGCGGGCGAGGAGGGGGAAAGCAGCAGCAGTAGTATCCAGGGTGTGAGGATTTTGCAGAGATCCCTGCCCCTGCTGCTCCCTTGGTGGCGATGGAGGGCAGCAAGGTGGGACTCCTGGGGAAGGGGATGGCAGGGGCCTCTGTGTGTTTCCAAAGGCACTTGGAAGGGTTACTGAGGCACAAGAGTTTAAAGTGTTCTTAACTGATCCAGAAGCCTAAATGACACCAATTTTGCCAACTGAATCTTTCAGGTTTTGCAACATATCAAAGGCTGCACCTCCACAGCCAGCGAAAGCTGATGTGGCCAAAACGATTAATCGCTGCCCTCCGGTGTCCCTGCCATTGGGCCCTGTTGCCTTATGCATGTGCAACTGCACAGGGCAGGTGAACCTGGGAACTGGCCTGGTGGAAAAAAAGGGTTTTGGCCAGAATAGTTTCCAGCTGATCAGGGGGCACAGCAGGGTTGGTCACCACAGGGCCACAAGTAATCCAAGTATTGCTGATGGAAAGGAGCTGATGGAGGGAGGAAGAAGCAGGGTTGGTCACCACAGGGCCACAAGTAATCAAAGTATTGCTGACGGAAAGGAGCTGATGGAGGGAGGAAGAAGTGGCATATTTGGCAGTATGAGTCGTGTCATTTTTGGCATGTCACCAAATCTGCATCCTTCTTTAGCCCCAGAAAAGCATAGATGGTGAAGGGACCTCTGCAGCAGGTCTGCTCTGACCTCCTGCTCGTAGCATGTCCAGCTTCAGAGTTAGAGCTGTAAGTTTTGAGTAACATCAAAGTACATTAAGACTGTGACAGCAACCATTTGGGATCAGACCAAAGTTTCATGAGTGAGTGTGCACATGTAGAGCAGCCTGAGTGGAGCCCCTTGCTGCTGCCCTGCTGCCACAGTCCAACAGCTACCTCCCAGGTTCTTTCAGGGCCAGGTACCTGCAGGGCCTCGAACACTCAGGTGCTACATGGAGGGAGAAGATGGTGTATGAGGATTTCAAGTGGCTTGAAAGCCCCTTGGGCTGAGGATTCTTTGTACTATTATTTCCTAAATGAAATGATAAATTTTCATTTCAGAAAATTGGAGGAAAATTTAGAGTTTACTGCAAAACTCAGTAAGCTATGCATGCTGACTTAGTAGTGATGCAGTGATTTATCATCATCTAAGAATATGGCTCATTGTTTCCATAGAAACTTGGGAAAATGGAAAAGTGTAAGCAAAGAGAAAGCGAAGGTCTTCATGAAAGAAAATAATTGATACAGATATTATTACTCCCTGCTGCAACCTTTTTTGTGATCTTGTCTAGTCTATCAATATAGTTCTTCAAATTATTCTTATACAACAAGGAATGTCTGGAAATGAAGCCTTGGGAGC